AGTGTGTAATGTAATGGGCCACATAAATCTGAGTGTATTAATTGAAATGGAGCATATGCTCTTTTGTCCTTATTAAATAGTTTTCAAGCAATGCAATTTTGAAAAGTGAGCAAGTTGATTTTAGTGAGTGGGCCCAAAAGTCCCTTTCTAGCTAATATGTTCAGTCTATCTTGTTCGATATGACCTAATCTAGTATGTCATCTAATAGAATCACATTAACCATAAACGTAACATAACAATATGATTCATTCCTAGAATGGTCAATATCCAATACAATAAAACCACTTGAGATGTGACCTAATCCATAAAATTTGGTCTTTTTGTAAATGCCAACATGATAACCTTAATGCTCTTTTGGCCCTCTTGTACTTGATAAAGCAAGTGTCGCCAACCTAAATTTAAGCATCAACCTTTTTCCCATCTCGCTTATGCTTGGACTTGAAGGTCTTGTGCGAGGCAACTTTAGCCATATAAGAGCTACTCTCTCCTTTGGCAACCTCCAAACTCTTAGCTTCAAGCTCTAAGTGACACGATACATTCTCGAATGTTTTCACTCTCTCATTATGTGTCACGTTTTCTTTCATATGCTCCCATGATGGTGGAAGGGAGCGGAGTACGGCTTGAACTTGCTACTCATCGATCAACACATGACCAACAACGCCTAAATCACGTATTGGCTTGATTCGAAATATGTACACCCAAGTGCAGGCAGTCAAGTTATTGTTTTAATCTGATTAAGTCTAGAGTCAAATCCACAGGAAACTCATGTTGGTGTTTTAAAGTTAAGATCAATAAAGACAATGGTAAATGGAACCCTTGAAGTTGGAAGTTGTACTGATGATATGAAATAAAAGTCATTTTTAGTTCGAGGATCTGGACATGTGCATATGTGTTTGGGTGATATATTTGTGCAATGATTATTACTTAATTAACTCTTATGTCAATAGCAAGTTAATGAGAGGATATATATTGAATATGCAAATTAAGAGCATAGTTTCGATGCATTTGTAGAAGATCATAAGAATTGCTTATGTTGGGACTTAACCCATCTATAAACAATCAAATAATGCTACAAAGCATCTAGCATTAGTTAAGCTATTCAATCATAAGTTAAACACAATGTAAATGCAGATTGAAAGATTGTCATGAAAACCTACCTTGGGTACTTGCAAGGAATAATTAGCATCACCTATGCCAAAACTTAACTTGTCTATAGGTGAGCTATGATTGTATAAGGCACTTTAGCTTTGTTATATACATTCAATCATTCAACATATAGAGCAAAAGATAAACAATAAGCATAAATGAAGTGCATAAATATAAATTCCAAACAATAATTTATATGTCCGTCATCTCTTACTAAAGAGTGAATGAGAAACTACTCACCCTTCATGACTTTAAAGAAGTTAGAAAAGTAAGTGAATCTCATCCCTCTAAGTAGAGGAACTTTAGAATTTCAAAGAGAAAATTACAAGAAACAAAATACTTATATCCAATAAAGAATGAGTGAAATACTACCCACCGTTCAAAGCCACAAAAGAGCTACAAATGTGAGAGGTTTATTCCTCTAGGTGAATGAAAAAACTACACAATGAAAGCTAATGAAAGTAATACTAAAAAAGTAGAAGAAAACAAGTTAATTGGAGAGTTCCACTTCCCAAAGTTGCCCCAATGCAAGGGCCAAGAGTTGGTATTTATAGGCCAAGGAGAGAGGACAATGATCAGCCTTGAGTGCTGAAAGTCCAAGCATGGAGCTCAATAGTCCAGCTGAAAGTAAAGCATGGAGGCTTTCTATTTTTTGTTGGCATTCGAAAACATGAAGCTGGCGTTTGAACATGCAGCCTCGACACTTCGCCATTCAAACAATTAACATCCTTTGGCCTAACAGCCATTTTTGGGGATTCTGTCTAATTTTTCCCGATTTGGCAGTTGCGTTCGAACGTGGACTCAAGTCCACTTTTGTGTGCTTTTAGTCTCCGCAACTGCGTCCCCCCATAAATGCTTGGTCTCACTACTTCTAAGTCTTCCGTTTAAATCCAAGATCATCACACGTGTAGAAGCTCTACACATCATTCACCATTAGCTTATGCCATTTAAATATAATTAAGGTGTAATTATCCCCACAAATGTACGATAAAATGTACTTTTTAATAGGGAATCATGTGTCATAGATGTCATAGCCCTCAAGTTTTATTTCATTGTATGCTCTGACTTCTTTTAATACGAGTCAAACTTCATGGTCAATCCAAGAACCCTAACAAGAGAAGTAATATCAAACTTCCCTTTGAGGGCTTTCCACATAGCGTAAAGCGTAAGCAATAGGGTAATTCTCAAATTTGAGAATAAGGGCATCTTCTATGCTCTCTTGCATAGTATAGCGTGTAAGCCTATCCTTATTCTGCCAAGACTATTAATTCTCTTCGTCTTGGTGGGTCTAAGGTATCTCAGGCTCTGGCAGCACAGAGTCAAGGGTATCCAAGACTTGATATTCATACAAGACAAATCGAATCTTACGGCGTCATATGTCATAGTTATCTCTATTCAATTTGTCGCCCTTGGTTTATTCAACCACTATGATTTTAGTAGTCATTACGATCATTTATATGCAGAGAAAATGCATATGAGATATTAGCACAACACATTCTAGAATTTTGTCACAAAAATTTAAATTCAAGTGACAATTATTACTAACAATTATTATTATAGGGAACTGACTTTTCATTTGTTTCCAAGCTTAGTACCAACTAACAGAAGTCGTCCAAAAAGTGTCCCTTGCATAATTGAACTTACATAGCTTTCCAAAAAGTGTCCACACTTATAAATAACTCTCAAATGCCATATAGAAATCGAAGTTTAATGTGTATGCCAATTTTCAAACCATAGCTCAGTCTTATAACCGTTTTCAATTCTCGAGTGCAATAAAAGGTCTAACCATTTCACTTAATTTGCAGATTTTCAAGAACAGCAGTAGGTATCTTAATTGAACTCTCCAAAACTTCTATTCTTTAAATGATAAGCTTTTGTCCATCGAGTCCAATATGATTTTCATCAACAAATGGAATCCAAATGTGCCTCATCATCAGTGCCTTTGTTCCAATCTGTGAGTTTCTTTATCCCAAGTCCTCCTTTTTTTGGATGAGTAACTATATTGTATGCCATGCTACATTTGCGTTGAGTACCTGAGCAAAAAAAATAGTCTAATGAGCTGGTTAACCCTTTTTCAAAATTACCTTTAGTAATATGAAATTGTTGCATCAAAATGTCCACGCAGTAATTAAGTCAAGTTATTTCTCAGTAGGGCCAAGTAACAAAAGAAGTTGAGATAAATTATAAAATTATTAGGGGTAACTCGTGTCTGAACGCATGGTGCAATATGAATAATTTTGAGAAGAATATTGGTGACCGTTAAATGATTCTATTTGAGACCATCAGATGAACTTATTAAAACCTATCGTGTTTTATATTTTATAGATTACAACAGCTCCTATCTATCCCAACCACCTCCCTTTTGTAAACCTCATCAGTTTCAATTGCAATTTGAACCTTGTTTGTAATAATTTCAGTACCATAATAAAAAGCAAGTTGAGTTACTGTAATCGCATCCTCAAGCAAGTAAGAATCTCGAGGTCAACTATATGATCATTGGTTGACTTTGTGAATCAAAACGTTGACTTAAAATGTTGGGGGCGAATATGATTTTTTTTAATCTATATAGATGGATCCAAAATTTCACACTTTCACCCCTGATTAAGACCTTTTTTTTGTTGATGAATACCATACCGAAATGCAAGTTGGGGGGTCCTATAATCATAACCATAATGAGCAAGTAAGAAACCAATTCAAATGTCAGCTGTATAATTATTGGACAACTATAAGAATGAAAATCTTGGCCTGGAAGTTTAGGGCATAGATCAACCAAGTAGGACTAGCCTACTCGGCTACATACTCCCAATCAGGAGTTCATTTTTTATGAACAAGTACTAATCTCTCTCTCTCTCTCTCTCTCTCTCTCTCTCTCTCTCTCTCTCTCTCTCTCTCTCTCTCTCACACACACACACACACACATCATATTCTGCTCTTTTTCAGGTTTTTCCTCTTTGTCAAGAGTGACAGTGATACCCAATACTTGTAATACTGATCCACCATTCCATATCAAAAATCAATTAAGGTGTGGTAGTAGCTAAACAACTTAGTCCACAACACCCACATGGTGGGCAACACTCTACACATTAAGACCAACCACGTTTTACGAAGGGTATAAACCTTCTGTATAGATTCATCATATACAGTACTCAAAAGCAACCTTGTGGGCAACAATAGGACCAAGGTGGTGTTCATGGCTCATAAACACTGCTGGGACTTGGAGGTGAAAAATAGATTTTCTGGGTGCCAAAAGCAATCCATGTTAATTTAAAAAACAGTAAAAATATAAGTTACCAAGGCACAACTTCTCACTCAGATTACTCTACCCACAATTAAATCATCATTTTGAAGAGATTCCACCTGCATAATGGTAGCAGATAATCTACATGTTTGTTCACCTTTTTATCAGCCAAGGGTATGTAAAAACCAAAGGGCCTTTTGGTCCACTATTACCCCTTGCCTTATGAAAAACCTTTTGCCTTCTTGAGGTCAAAGGTTTAAAATCCCTCTCCCCCTCCTCCTCCTCCTCCTCCCCCACAAAACAAAAAAAAGGGATGTGAAAAGGGAAGGAAATTCTCATTTCAGAAGCTACAGGCAACAATGGAGAAACTGCAGATTCAGGTAATGAAAGGTACCTGTAGGTATATATATATATATATATATATATAGAGAGAGAGAGAGAGGGAGGTTAGCCATTCAAATAGTCCAGTTAGTCATGCTAAGAAACTCAAAGCACCCAAAAATGTGAATGACTACCACATTCGACAAAGAAGGGAAATGAAAGAAAAATGCAAAACACAAGCAAGAGGAAAGGGAAATTGCAAGACATCCTACCGGAGCAATTCACTTCAAAAAAATCAATCCATGGGCTGGTCAACTTCAGCATAGGCAGTCTCAAGGATGGCTTGCTCAGCTTCCTGCACCTCTTTCTCAGTCTTCCTCCCTTTCTTAGACTTATAGTACACACTCATAAAGTTCCCCACAGCTCTGTACTTTCTCCTGCATTCCTCATAGAGCTCAGCATCAAACATTCTCCAGAAGTTCTTCTCTGTCAGTTCAGACACAGCATACTGCGGCTGGAAACCATGGTTTTCAATCAACCAGTTCTCCAAATTACGCACTGCCTCTGCTCCATCAAATACCTCACCCCTCAAGACAGGCCCAGGTGCATAGTAGACTCCAATATCCGTGAACATCTGAGCATAATTTGTGTCACCCTGCCTGCGGTGCAGCTCAAATCCTGGTTCAGGATAAACCATCGTCTTGCAGGGGAGCTTGTATAGTCGGTGGGGACACAGCCAGATTGGATATACCTAGAATAACATTACGTTGTTAGGTAACTTGAAATTGAGAGGTTAATCACGGGAAATATTCCAAAAAACCTTAAGCTTAAGATGACTTGAGAAGGCCAACGACAGGCCTTCTTATGGTCAGCCAATAATGTCTTAATATGGTATCATAAGTAGTTTTATTGCCTTCATATAAGAAGCAGATCATACATTCTCCTCAGTATTAGTTCTCCATGATATACACATTGGTACATGATGGTACACAAACCAACTCATAGGTTATAACCAGTCAAGCTAATATTTGAACGCAGAACAATATGAGATCCAGAAAACTCGCATATGCATGTTCATATATTCAAATGCATTCTAATGCAAGAAGAGAAAATCATACCTCCATCTCATGGTGGACCCACTCCAGCGCATCTCCAACCTTGTAAAGAGGAACAAGCATATCCTGAATAACATGCATCTCATGGTAATAGTTTCTGATGGCTTCACCTTGAGTAGCTTTAAGCAGAGAAACCTTGGGTGGCATCAACCATCCCAAGAGAAACCTAAACCACCATTGATCCGCAAATGGAAGGATGAGCTTCCCTTCCCAATATAAACACCTAGTGTGCCTGTGGTAATAGTCCCTAGTTGGAATGTACTCCACAAACTCTCCTTTCTTCAGTGCTGTCTCTGCATGCTGGTAAAACCAGGGTTTGAACCACCAACCAACACTGTTTATCTTATTCCCCTTCTTCTTGGCCTCTTCTTTTGAGGCGTACCTGCCTGTCATGCAAACAGCTTCATGAGGAGAATAAATCATGGTTTCTACAAAGTCTGGAACCTTGTCGGGATTATCCTGATCTCCATCTCTGGGTGCAAAAGAATCAATATATCCCTGAGCAAGATCTTTCAGAGAACCTTTCACAGGTTTATACGTAAGCCTCATATATTCCTTAACAGGTATAAGCTTGATCTCAGCTGAGACAAGAAGGCCCAGAGTCCCCTGAGACCATGGGATAGCATAGAAAAGATCAGAATACTCGTTGTCCTTGGTAGCTCTAACTACCCGCCCATCTGCCAGAACAATCTCATAAGCCACAACAGTGTCAGAGAATAGACCATAGAGATGGGAGCTTCCTTCAATCCCATAGCCATTAATGAGGCCACCAACAGTCAGATCATCTAGTTCGGCAACAACTGCAAGGGCAAGATTCATAGGGACAGTTACTCTAGTGATCTGCCCCATATTGACCAGAGGCTCAACTCTGGCAATCATTCTCTCTTTGTCAATTTCGAGGATGTTACGGAAGGCAGAAAGATCAACCTCAAAATGCCGAGCACGCTTATAGTCCACATTGCGCATTCCAACAGCAATCCAGGGTTTCCGGGCTGTACAGACAAGACCATCCTTCGATGGGTTCCTCTGCCTGAGACGTTTCACAACTTTCTTAACATTGTCATCGTGTTCCTTCTGACGCTGCTTGTAGGACTTCCAATCAGATCTGACATCCCCAAGATAAGTGAGGAAATACAGCGTGAAGGAGATAGGAAGGACAACAAAGATGACAATAATCCATCGGAATTGGACAAAGTAATCCACCCAGATTTTCTTCCTCTTGGGGCGTAGAGGAGCCTCAAGGTCTGACATTTTTGGAGGTGGAAATGCCTATATCATTGTAAGAAAGATAAATTGAGAATTATCAGCATTCAGAATTTAGGAAATAAATAAAAGAAACTAGAAAACATAGAACAAACTACAGAACGAAAAAGGAGAATGAAGCTCATTAATCCTCAGCAGCACATCCATTACATTCTACTTTTAGAGTATCTGATAAACTAACTTCAAAAAACTAATGATCCAGCTTTAAAACATATGATCTATGTTCATCGTATCAATTCTAAAGATGAGCATTAAATGGGGTCAACATGATGAAGATACCATAATTAGAAAAGCAAATATGCTACCAACTGACCTATGATCTCCTCCACATATATTGAAGTTTGTACTTAAATAAACACTTATGTTGTACTCTCTCTAATTACTTAAGCTTTTAGAAGAGATAGTGGTTAACATAGTATCAAAGTAGAAGGTAATAAGTTCAAATCTCGCATCACTTTGATTATTAGACTTGAATGTGCTTGGCCCAAAAACTGACCCGCATGTGAGGAGGCATGTTCAACTATAAAACACTTGTGTTCTTTCTAACCACTTAAGCTTTTACAGCATTCGATCATTTAACAACATGAATCAAGTGACGTGGAACAACAGCAACTTGAGATCATTTCTTTTATTGGTGGCACACTTGTAAAACAAAGCTTGCGGTTCTTAAAAATATGAAATTTCTTCAGCTCCTAGTTATTGGTCGAGCCCAAAATTTAATAGGTGAGATGGGCAGTGTGATGGAAGAGGGAAAATCCTTATTCCATGTAGGTGTTACCTAAGAAAATTTTATTGGTCCTTGAAGGTAGATAATGAATACATCGCAAGTACGACACATTACAACAAGGCTAAATTCCAAATGATCAGCTCCTTGCATTATACATCCACAAGACACAACACAAGCAACAAACGCAATGAAGAAAATAATCAAAAAATTTCAGTGTCAACATTCTTGATGCAACTGTGATCTTACAATCTAATTATCATTACTTCTACTCTAGATACTAACATTTTCATTTTTTTCAATTTTTAGGGCTTCAATTTCCAAATTCAAAGTCCACACACCAATATCCAACAAACATGGTTGATGTTTGGCAGAGCAAAACATTGGCATGAGTGGCAAGGAAACAAATTTGACAAGCACGTAATATGACGGCAATCTTTGTCTATTTTCTGCAGCAACCCATGAAATGGCAAAGGATAGAAAGATACAATTAAAAAAAAAAGAACATTTCCCATCAAAACAATTTCAATGAAGCAACAGTAATCAACTCGGTGCGTACAAAAAACCAACCACCCACAATAAGGAAGAACTTCAATATACCTAGATACCATGCACAATCACAACCTATAACAAGCATCCATAACTAGCACCATTGTTAATTTCACCAATTTTCTTCCTCCTTCCTTGTATAACACAGTACACCACCAGATTTCTTGATTAATCAAATATGCAAATCAAAAGGGCCACATCTCAACTACAGAAGTTCTACAATATGCTAATTTCAAATGATTAAGAAGCATGAGTCAACTGTGTATCAACTAATCTGTAAGGTCCAATATACTAGTAACTACGAATAAAAGGATTGGACGAGGAGGAAAGGGAGAAGGAAGAGAAAGAACAAAGCATAGTGTACTTTTGCCCCAATTTTACAGGTTGGATGTCCTAAGTTCATGTCTTCTCCAAGAGACCAGCCCAAAGGATTATCCCAAGCAAATTGTCCAATGCATTCACAGGTTGCATGTGTGCAGAAGGATAAATCGGGTGATCTAAGAGGCCGATTATTCCCTAGTTAGCCAAGAACAACAAATTGCCATCCAATTCAAAAGCCACAAGTCTTGAGCTCAAGCCTTCCCCTTTGGTTTGGCTTCCCCTTGGGCAAACTCAAATTATTTATCCAGACCATTGCCTGTTACATATGATAGCCGATTGCGTGTGTTTGCATCAAGTGGTCGGGCTCCCCAAATGGCCCTTATACATCCTAGTCACAAAACAAAAAAAGAAGTATCTAAGAGAAATTATTCACTACTTTACACGCTGGAGGTCTAGAGTAAAAGTTTATTCCTGAGGTCAGACCATCCCCTGGATTTACTAGAATTGACCGGTGCCAGTCAGAGTAGTATAGGCGGACTGCTTGTGCCTGAAGCATTATGCAGGTGATTCAAGAGAACAAGTACATCCTAGTAAGCAAAAAAAAATTATTACCCTTCACTTTTCAAATTTTAGATCCTGAGTTAAAGCCTTAACCTTGGTGCTGTGCCGCTACCCAAGGGACTATCCAGCAATAGAAAAGTGCATGTAGCATGGACAACCCTCATGTGCATTGGAGGATTTACAAGATACCTGGATACATTCTACTTAGAAAACAAATTAATGGCTAAAACAATTAATCTTGGCCAGTGACACTTGAAGGAATGACGGAAACCTCATGACAATATAAAGCCTGAAGCAGGAACATAAAAATTCCACTCACACAAACACCAAACACATCGCATGAGTATGGTCACAATACATACAGTGCTGCGCAGATCTGAAACTACTAAAACAGAGTCTACAACGTGTAAAAAATTGTAGTACAAAATACTGTGAGTGAAAGGCAGTCATCAAAAAGTTGTAGCTGATTTTCCTTTTCTTCCTCTTTTTTTCAATCTAAAGTTTATACCACATTGCCGCAACCTCGTGGACAGCTTAAAGCCAGAAGTAGAACCATGAAAGATTCCACTCACACAAACTCACAAACATAACGTGAGCATGAACACAGATCTCGGTATGTAAACTACTATAAAGATCTGAAACTGCTACAACGGAGTCCAGATTTTTCAAAAAAATTATGGCAAACATTACAATGAGTAAAAAAGCAGAGTCACCAATAGTCGTAGCTAATTTTCTTTTTCTTTCTTTTTTACCTAAAGCTTAAAACAAATTAGAAACCTCATTGACAACTTTAAGCTAGAAGTAGGAAAATAACAAATTCCACTCAGACAAACACACCTTGATTATGAATACGATCTCGACAAACACACTACTTCAGAGATCTGAAACTGCAAAAAACGGAGTCCAGAAAATTCTCAAAAAAAAATGAGTAAAAATCAGTTGAAGTATGGACTCGAACTTCTTTTCTTTTTCCTTTCAGCCTAAAGTTTTACATCAAATTGAATGTAAAACATATGAGTCTAGCAAAACTAAGTGAAAGAAGAGCCATATAAAACCAATTATATCAAACGAAAAATCAAAAATTAAACACAGATCCACTCATGAGATAGAGAGAAGTTGAAGTTACACTGAAATGTACTCAGGTGGAAATGCAAGATCCGAGCAGAAGATGAAAAGGGGCCTCGCTGTAACCAGTGAAGCAGTGACTGTCTGTGTGGGAGAGAGCGATAGTGTGCATTTATGTATAGAAAGCACATGGAAAGAAAACGTTTAAAAAAGGGAGCGGTGGAGATATCGAGGTCAGATCCCTTTAGGCTATACGGCTTCGCTGGCGGTCATGTTTTCGTACAGTGAAAAGCACGTGGCGTCGTGACAAATTTGCTCGTCAACTAGTATTGTTTGCTGATTAATTGCATTTTACAAAAATAATATATATTTGGCAAATGCCATAATTAAATGAAAATAATAATTTTTTAATTTAGGATTGTTTGCTAATTAATGGATTTTACAAAATAAAATATAATGGCAAATGACATAATTACACGAAAATATTTAACTTTTAATTTTCAAACTATTTATGATATGTTTGGCTTAAAACATTTATTTTTATGCTTGGAATTGGTAGTGCAAAAAGATGATTATTAATAAATGACAGACTCAATAATAACACCCATAATAATACCAAAAAAATTAATAATGTTATAACGTGCATATGGTTTGGGATATTCATAGAATTTAGAGAAAAATAATCAGAAATTGATATGGGCAAAGCTACAATGGAGCAAGGTTGGGCATGGGCCCACCTTCAATTTTTTTTAAAAAAAATATTATATGTATACTTGTATACTTGTATTTATATATTTTAAAAATTATGCATATATTTTTTACTTGTGTCCACTCTATAATTTTTTTATTTCAATTATTTAGTTTTTTTTTATTATATTAAGACTTTTATCAGATGAGCTTAATTTTATTATTTATAAATTTTTGCAAGTGAAAATTCTTACAATTGACCTTTATTTGACTTTTTTTTTAATGAAAAATCGACTATATTTATATTTAAGTATTGATTATAGTCTTTATTATGTGTCGATGGATTTTTAATTTTTTTTAATATGTTAAGCTCTTAAATTTTAGTTTAGTAGTTCTACTATGATAATATCTCAATGATAATGTTTAGAATAAACGATAAATTTAATGAATTGTTAGTAAATAACTAATATTTTTTAATTTCAAAACTGACAATTAAATTCGCTTTTTACGATAGTGATAATTAGTCATTTTTTATACATATACAATATACATTATTTATTTTTTTGGCTTTTTTATGTTGAATAGACTTCATGTATCAAATATGATATAATAAATATAAATATGTTATAGAGTGTGATTGTTTAAGAGAAAAAATATAAATGGACTCCACTCTTGGGAATTGATTTAGTTTATTTTAGCGAGGTTCTTGTTAAAAAAAAATAAGAAGAACCTGTGTAAAATACGTTTAGTGAGTGATTAAAATATTTATTGTTATTAAAATATAAGTGAGTGATAATAATATTTATTATGGTTAAAAGATTAAATGTAAATAAAGGTAGTTATTAAGGTCAAAAGATTAAAATGTAAGTCATCAAATAAGTATCTACAACAATCTGGAGAGTTATTCTGTCCTATATAAGTGTCTTATTATGGGTGCTATCAAAGTCAACAATAGTATCCATAATAATACCAATAGAATTTATAATGTAGTCGATGATTGATTTAGTTTATTTAAGTGAGGATCTTGTTAAAAAAATAGGAAGAACCTATACAAAGTATGTTTAGTGAGTTATTTAAATATTTATTGTTATTAAAATATAAACAAGTGATCAGGTGTGGAACCAGGATTTTGCCTTAGTGGGGCAACCTATCCAAAGCTGATTGAAAAATAAATTTGTCTAATTAGATTCAAGTTTAAGAGTTTGTCTTTAAGTTCGTAACAAATGAGATAATGGACTATACATAATCAAAATATAATCCATAAATCCAAACTATAATCCAAACTAGAATTTTAAGAAATCAATTAAAGCAATTTAATCATAGAGAAAAAAAATAGCATTAACCAAAAATTTCAGATAGTCAATTTGAACATGGGATTTAACAAAAATCCAAAATAGTTGAATGGAGACTCAAGACAAAACAATGAAAACCTACATAATTTCATAAATAATATACCAAATAACCATCAATTTTACAAGAGTTAAACTAATTTTTTAATATAAAACATTTGAATTTAGATTAGTGCTAATACTATTATCAAAAAATTTGGTTAATGAATTACCTCTCCTTAGCTTCAACATAATCTTTTAGATTGAATATAATAGGTTGATTTATTGATAAATATACCAAAAGAACTAACAAAGAAACTAAATAAAAGAAAGAAGAGGGGTTGTCGGCTAGACGCCTAGACTGGACAAGATGTCTGGACAAAATAGACGAAAGCTTACAGAAATTAAAAAAAAAAAAAAAAAACACAGGCGTAAAATGGAGCTATCAAAAGTTAGCTTTTAAGGGTTTAAAATTATATTAGTATACCATATACTTTAAGAAAATTTATGTGGGGTAAGTTTAAGAAATTCTTGAAATTTTTAAAACTACACTTAAGTCCAAAAAAATTTTAAAATTTCACTAGGGGCAAGTACCAGGCATGAAAAATGAGGAAGAGATGCCAAAAGTTTGCTTTTAAGGGTTGAAAATTATATTAATATACCTTATACTTTAAAAAAAATTCAGTAGGGGCAAGATTAATAAATTTTTGAAAATTTTAAAATTATACCTAAGTCCCAAAATTTTTAAAAATTTCAGTGGGGGCAGCTGCCCCCATACTAAATCTGCCACTGTGATTGATAATATGTACTATGGTTAAAATATTAAATGAAATAGAGGTAGTTATTGTGGTTACAAGATTAAAATGTAAGTCATACAATAAATCTTCAAATCTGAAATTATTTGGAGCGATCTAGAGTGTTATTGTACTTTATATAAGCGTATTATTATAGGTGCTGTGGAAGTCAATAAAAGTACTCATAACAATACAAAGAAAATTAATAATGATAGAATAGTTTAGGGTACTAAGGTTATATGGCTTATAACGTACATAATTAAATTCGCATAATACATAAGTATCTTTTGATGCCATTACTTGGTAAAAAGATAATTTCTTCGCGACCCATATGAAAATGATAAAATCTTGTTGAATTTATCCCTTTCTCTTTTTCTTTGCCTTTCAGGTACAATGTTCCTAAGAGTACAAGAATTTGTATGGATTTATAAGCAATGGGGTCAAAGTTAAATTTTTTTTAGACTCTTCTTTTTAAGGTTCATTAAAAGCAAGTTGTGAAAATTTTTCCCAATCATCTTTATGAACCCAATTCCAACATATTTTTATTAATTTTGTACTTTGAGATAGTTTATCTCTAAAATACATATTTTAACCAAAAACTTGCACTTCAGTAGGATATGTTATTCTTATTGATGGTTCTTTAGTTAAATTATTTATCATCCATTCTCTTGAAATTTCTCAATCTTTTCAATTAATCAATCGAGGTTTTATTGTAGTGTCAAAGGATCTTGGTTCAAAAAATTTCACAAATTTTTTGTTTAGATTCTGTATAGAGGTTTGCGGTAACTTTGTTAATTCATGGAGGGTTTTCCAATGAATTATCGTATCATAAGAATTAGATTTCATTTCCATGTCTTGGGTAAGAATTCTAATCCCTACTAAATCTTCGAGATTTGAATCATCAATCGAAATAAAATAGTTGGGTCTGATATTAAACCAAACTACTCCTAAGACCAAATTCGATTGAATTCCGCCTCTTATTTTTAATGGATTACTAAAGCGATTGTCTAACACTACAACCAAGATAGGGGTGTCTATTTTTTGTCTAAATAGATAATAGTTTACTATAAAAAAAAATAAAAGGTGTAACTGCTAGAACTAATCATTTTCATGATAAATATATTATTTAAAATTTGAATTAAATTGTGGGGAAGAAGTGTGATAGTCTTGGAAAGGTCTAAAATGGGTCCTGAAAGGGTTTGTGTATGAATAGAAGAGGTGGTAGTAGTCAATGGAAAAACAGCGATAACTCTCTCTAAGAAACTCCGATTGATGCACCATTTTTTTTGTTAGAACGTAAACTCATAGATATTTATAATCATATATGGTACAGAACCTAATTCTATTTGAGTGAAAACTGACATATGTTTGAAGTTGGCTGAAAATATGTGACTGATGAAAAAATCAGCTTAGTACCATTACAAACAAATGAACATAACACTTCACATAGAACTATGATTTTAGCTTATGACCTGTGATTGCAAAGCTTAGGAAGCCTAATTTATAATTAACTTAATTTCTTGTTAATTTAGTGACGATAGAAACCTATTTTAATTGAGCTTGCACGATGGATTCGTAAAACACTTAACGCATGTTAAGTATTCGACGAAAAGTTTGAGCTAAAGATAGGATTGGAAATGGGGCTAAAGTGATTCAATTAAATTTTATTGAGTATAATATAAAATAATGGTAACAAGTAAATCAAGTTATCGATAATTATTTACCAATGGTGAATTCGCTTAGTCGTTGGTTAGGACGATAACATCGATTGATCGATTATTTTAACTACCAAACAAAAATTTGAGAAGAATGAGTTATAATACATACGAAAAACCATGAAGCTTATTTATATGCATTCATTTGTATAATTTTAGAGTCGATGCTCACTTGCATTTGCACATATGCTAA